CACAGTGCACAGGGGACCAGGCTTTGCATTAGGTCGTAGACCAGGGTGTGTGGGGACTTTTCCAGGACTCTCCTCACAAACCTTCCTTAATTAACCCCAACAGGCCTGATTGACACTTGCAGGGAATGTGGAGCCCGGGCTCTAGAGCTCACGGGCCAGCTGCAGGACCGGACAATGCTACCAAGGGCACAGCCCAGCCTAATGCGGGCCCCCCTGCAGGGTCTTCTTCAGCTGGGCCAGGTGAGGTGTGCAGCCAAGGCAGAGCGCGGGCTAAAGCGGGGCTAACTCCTCTGTCCATGAGCTCGGTGTGCAGGTGTGCAGGCTGTGAGCACACAGCGTCAGGACACAGGGCTGCACCTGCACACGCTGCACAGCTTCGCTGGACCTTGGTGAGGGTCAGTCTCCCTGTCTGACTTGTGCCATCCCAGGACCTGAAGCCTAAGAGCCTGGATGTGCGGCAAGAGGAGCTCGGGGCCATAGTTGACAAGGAGATGGCAGCCACCTCTGCGGCCATTGAGGACGCTGTGCGGAGGATTGAGGTGAGGACCAAGCATCTGGACTCCCAGTCCCTGCAGGAAAGGAACTAAGGGGCTGGAGGCTGCCTCTGAGAGTGGTAGGTAGTATCTTGTGATCTGCTGGCTCATTCTCTGTCACGGAACAGGACATGATGAACCAGGCCCGCCATGAGAGCTCAGGAGTGAAGCTGGAGGTGAATGAGAGGTGGGTACCGCTTCCGGCCCTAGAGCCCTAGCCTAGAGCAGCTTCTGACTGCTGAGCTGGCTTCTCTTTCTTCCCCGCTCCTCCCCAGGATCCTCAACTCCTGCACAGACCTCATGAAGGTGAGTGCGGTGGGTGACCCCAGGGCGGCTTCTGCATTGGGACCACCTGGAGAATGAATCAGTCATATCTTGGTCTTGGCAGGCCATCCGGCTCCTTGTGATGACCTCCACCAGCCTGCAGAAGGAAATTGTGGAGAGCGGCAGGGTGAGCAGGCAGGGCCGTGGTGTGGCAGCCTCCCTTGCTGGGTCAGAAAGGTCACCTCGGAGCCCTGACCCCGTTGTGCATGACGCCCCCACCCCCACCCCACCATACAGTATCCATTGCCACATCTAAAAATCCCCACACCTCAGGGAGGCTTCAGGGATATGCCCTTTGGGCACCCCTTCCTCTCTGAAATGTCCTTCATCCTGTCTTGTCCTTTCATCACCACTAGGGGGCAGCCACACAGCAGGAATTTTATGCCAAGAACTCCCGGTGGACCGAAGGCCTCATCTCCGCCTCTAAGGCAGTGGGCTGGGGAGCCACACAGTTGGTGTATGTCGCCCCAGGTGGGGGTGGGCCGGGACAGGCGCTTAGGTCTAGGGTGTGGGTTGCCCTACTTGTTGATGGTGCAGAGCCCCAGCCCCTGACTGGTCCCCATCCCTAGGGAGTCGGCTGACAAGGTGGTGCTTCACATGGGTAAATATGAGGAGCTCATCGTCTGCTCTCACGAGATTGCAGCCAGCACAGCCCAGCTGGTGGCAGCCTCCAAGGTGAGAGGCTGTGCCGTGTTTGTGTCGGGCCTGGACTTGGGGCCCTCACTGGCTGCCTGTGGCCAGCAGATGGTGACCACTGTGCTCCCTGCAGGTAAAAGCTGACAAACACAGCCCCCACCTGAGCCGCCTGCAGGAATGCTCCCGCTCTGTCAATGAGAGGGCCGCTAACGTGGTGGCCTCCACCAAATCCGGCCAGGAACAGATCGAGGACAGAGGCAAGTGCTGCGTACTCAGGGGTTTCCCAGAGGTGGTGGGAGAGCTCGCTCAGCTTCCTCCTTCCTCCTGATCACAGACACCATGGATTTCTCCGGCCTGTCCCTCATCAAGCTGAAGAAACAGGAGATGGAGACGCAAGTGAGCACCCTCATGCCCCCAGCTGCCAGGCTCCCTCTTGAGACTGATCTCTGGGAAAGTCCCAGGACTCACGGGCAGCGCTGAGTGCTGAGTTGGCTCTGTGGCCTGCAGGTGCGGGTCCTGGAGCTGGAGAAGACACTGGAGGCAGAGCGTGTACGGCTCGGGGAACTGCGCAGACAGCACTATGTCCTGGCCGGGGTGATGGGGACACCTGGAGAGGAAGAACCCAGCAGACCCAGCCCAGCTCCCCGGAGTTCGGCCACCAAGAAGCCACCCTTGGCTCAGAAACCCAGCATAGCCCCCAGGCCAGACAACCAGGTGCCATGCATCAGTGCTGGGTTAGGGAGGGGAGCGAGCATGCATGCGTGCGCGCGCATGCACGTGCACGAGTGTGCAAAGGGTGTTTAGTGTCTGTACCTGGATGGTACATGTGCTCTGGCCTCGCCTACTGAGCCCCTCATCTTGACTCCTGCAGCTCAGCACAAAGGACGGCATCTACCCAGCTCAACTTGTGAACTACTAGGCCTTGAGTGTCCAGCGGACGGCTGCTGGTCATGCTGGGCCTTACGTAGCTGTCTGGCCATGGTCAAGGGGCCTCTGAGAGGCTTGAACTCCTGCACCTGGAGCCCAGAGCAGCCTTCACCAGCCCAAGGGGTCTTGGCTCCGTGGGGTAGTTGATCTGGATTTGAGTCTATTTATCTTAGTAGGAACTGCCCAGAGCAGCCAGGACGGCAGGCCTGAGCCACAACCACAGCTAACATCTGGGACAGTGTGAATATGTTAGTCCTCCCTACCGAGTCTAGTCCGCACACTGGGGACAGGTCACACACCAGGAGCTGTCCTGCTTCTGAGCTCCAAAGTCTGAGGCTGTAAGTGGACGGAAAAGAGAGGGTCCCCTGCTGGCTTTTGGGGATGAGGGGGTGACCTGTGACCCTTGAGGGAGAGAAGGTAGGCTAGGCTGTATCATCCTCTAGGGGCCTGGTGCTAGGGCATTCATGCTCAGAGTCCCAGGAAACCAGGCTTTGTGTGGGAACCTGGCCACAGGGTGGCCGGGGCTGCTGCTGGGCTGTGCCTGGAGCAGCCCTGGCTCAGGTGCTGCCTCTGCGCTTGAGTTTCCATTCACAGCCGGACTCTGAGCCACCCTCCCACTTCCTGTTTTCCCTTCTCCTGGCCTGGCTGCCTTCACTAGTATGGCTGCTTATCACCCACCTTTGTGGGTAGATTTCAGTCCTCCTGAAGCTGGGAACTTTCAGCTCAGTAAGAAGCTAAAACAGACAGAAGCCACAGCCCACCTTTTTGGGGGCTCAGAAATTCCTGTGGGGCCCCAGGTGGAGCAGCCCAGACTTGGAGGCCTGGCCTTGCCTGCCCCTGACAGTTGGAATAAATTTGTTTCTTGAGCCTGTGAGGGGGAATAGTTGTGGATAGGGATATCCATACCGATAGAGACAGCAGCTGAGCTGGATAGGTCCCCAGCCTCCCTCCAGTTGCCTGCCCTGTGCCCTGGGAAAGCTACCAACCATGGGCCAAGGTTCGGGACTGTGGGAGGGAGCCAGTTCCTTTGCTCTGTGTCTAGTATTCTGTGTTTGAATTCCATTGGCAATAAAACACTGTTGTCACCAGTGCCCTAGTGAGGGCCTGTGCCAGGTTTTTCATTTTTCCAGACATGCACACTTCTCTGGCCCTGTGCAGGTGTCTGCAGTTGACATTAGAACCCAAGGACACGAAGAGTCTTGCTAGTACAGTTGTCACCGAGCACCAGTCCGTCTTCCTGCAGACTGCTGGAGCATGGGCTGAACTAGCCATCATTGCCCTCCCATCCTCCCAAGGCTTCCCTGAGACCACTGCTATTCCAGCCTGGAAGCTGCTAGGGCCTCACCAGTGGTTAACACCAGGGCACTAATCTGAGACCATTTGGTTACAGTTGGCAGTTTCTAGACTTCTAGTGTCTGAGCTGGTGGGCGAGGACCTTGACCTCCAGGCTCCAGAGGTCACTCCACTCAACCTGCAGCCCAGCAGAGGTGGCTGGGGCCCCATCCCCACACTCAGCATTTATATAAGATTTATAGAAGAGCGTATGCTACTGGGGCAGGCAAGCTTCCTGGGCAGCAGAGTAGAAGCCTGTGTGTTCCAGTGCTTTGCAAATTGATCTCCAGCGTGAGGCTAATGGAGCTGGCTGCCGGGTCGGAATCATGTTTTTATAGAATTTCAAATGCTTTAGGGTATTCATGTGTACAAACCAGAGAAAATTGGTCCAAACTGGCCAGTGATCCAAAGGGTCCACCTGACCTCGCATTCTGGGGCTCCAACCAGGAACTGGAGACCAGTCACCAATGAACCCCACCTCTCCAAATCATTCCCCAGCCTCTGGTCACACGCATCTCCTGTCATAACCATAGGGCTGTGTATGTGAGCATCTTCCTCAGAAGAGGTCATGGGATGCTACAGGGTTGCTCTTGGGTCACATCCCTTGTAGGGGCCTTGTGGTCCAGACACACAGCTCAGCAAAAGTCAGCAGAGTGCAGGCGACAAGGTACAAGCTCAACCAGGTCAGAAACATTTTTCTGTTACTGCTATCTTCAGGCAGGCACCTGAAGGCACAGGAGGCAGAACACAGTGGGGCTTGGTGTGGGAGGGGACACTTTCTTGAAACAAAATGAAGTCACCCTCAGCGCTATGACTGCAATCCCAAACACACAGTCCTGTGTCAGAAACATTTTTCTGTTACTGCTATCTGACTTATACAAGCCCTACCTGGAGAGGATGGTGGTGGCGCACGCCTTTAACCCCCGCACTCAGGAGGCAAAGGCAGGCGGATCTCTGAGTTTTAGACCAGCCTGATATACAAAATGAGTTCCAGGACAAAAAACAAAACACAACAAAACAAAAAAACAACAACAAAAAAACCAAAACCAACCCATGGCTAGTGCCAGGGATCTAGAATAAACAGCTTTGGTTTTTTTATTTTTTTGAGACCTGGAACTTGTTCCTTAGAACAGGCTGGCCTTGAACTCCTAGCACTCTTCCTGCCTGTCCAGCCGTCAGCCTTTTGTCAGACGTTCTAGAACCACGTAAAGCAGTGGCAGGCTAAAAATAAAGAGAAATGCAACAAACTGAAATTAATAATTCTCAATTTATTAAGAGTTCTACAGCTTTACAACCCCGGTGCCAGATATGGCCCTGGGCAGTGATGGCAAGGTCAGCCTGGCAGCCCCTCACCACATCCTCCTGGAGCTCCCATGTGGTTGCAGCCCGTGACTGGGGCAGTGGGCGCTCCCGGCGGCAGCTGGTGGCAGAGGTATCGAGGTGGTACATACAGCTTTGTCTCTTTACAACAGCTCCAGTAGGGTCCAATCCAGGAGCAGGAGGACAGACTTGGGGACAGGGGCTGGCGCTACCGCTAGGGACAGGCTCTCTAACCAGTTCTGCCCTGTCACCTTGGGTTGAGGCCAGCTGGCAGGGTACGGGAAGGGCTCTAACTTCTACCGACAGGCACACAGCCCTCTTCTGGGAACAGGTGTGGTTGCTGGCCCTCCCCCACCTGGGCCCTGGGAACTCTGCATACGTGGCACCTGCAGATGAGATCCCAGAGAGGAAGGAGCCACCGCTGTCATTCCCGTGAGGTGGGCTTTTCCCAACCCCTTCTGTGCTCTTGGCCAGCACCTGCAGCACTGTCAGCGATGGCAGAGAACACTTCCGAGAGTATCCTGGTTGAAGGTAGATGGGCCTCCTCTGACCTATCACAAAGCAATGAGGCCCACTGCAGGCATCTGAGTCCCGGCACCAAGAGAAGCTAAGGCACAGCACGGGCACTGACGGATGTGACCATGCACTGCTCGCCTGACAGGAAGCGGCACTCAATAAATCTGCATTTTTAACCAGCTCGAAACAGTCTCTGCATTTTTAAAAAAGTTTCCCTGAATGGTCTTGAGAGTGTCAAAAAAGTTTCCTTTCCAAATATAAAACAGGAAAATTACAAGTGTAGTAAAAACACTGAGTTTTTTTTTTTTTTTTCACAGAAACCATCATGAGACTTGAGGTGTGAGTGAGGGCTGAGGACTCTGCTGTGCAAAGTCCAGCTCACACCGCCTCACCCAGAGCCACAGCTCTCCTGGCCTCTGCACACGGCAGCCAAGTGCAAACTATGCTCACGGTTTTGAACCAAGAGCATCCAGTCTGGCGGGAGGAGAGGTGACTGATGAACCTGCATGGCACAGACTGAGTGGACAGCACAGGTGCCCAGCAAGGCCTGGCTGTGGGCACATGTTCCAGGCTGGCCAGTGTAAACCAGCCTTTACCGGCACCATAGCAGCTGGTAGACCAAGACTTGAAAATAAAACAGATATAATTAACCATGCTTATTAAATAAAGCTGCAACAGGAGGGCCATGACTCTAAACTGGAGGGAAGGTTTATCTTCCAGATGCACAAGTCCATCAACACTAGATATTTAGAAATCACACCCAGAGCACAGACCCATGTGATGACAGGGCGTGCCAGACAGTGGCCTGGCACAGAGAGCTCCCTTGGTCCACAAAACTCGCTCTCGTTACTTACCACGGACCTACAGTTCTAAAATCGGATGGACACACTGACCCAGGGCACCCAAGCCATTGGCCCAGATGCTGGACTCCGCAGCCTCCATTGCAGAGCTTGGCATGGCAGGCAGAGGGTGTCTTGCAAGAAGAACAGACGCCAGAGCTCACTGGAGGATGAAGCCCGGCTGGTGTGGAGCCAGCCGTGGAGGGGGTCTCTGGGGCAGGGCTGGTGGGTATGGCGACACCAACTGTGCAGAGAATCCTTGCTGAGAGGGGAGGCCCACCCTGGGGGGCAGAGGTGGGCACTGTAATCCTGGGTATGGAGAAGCCTGTCCTGAGCCCATGGCAGCAGTGAATGGGGTGGCTATGTGTCCTGCGGGCACCGGGGGTGGAGGTGGTGGGATGCGCCGAGGCACGACAGAAGGGAGTCCAGTGGCCTCCAGAGACGGGTAGGGCAGGGAGGTGGCAGTCGATGGCTCAGGCACCCTGGGCGGTACTGGGGCTCCGGCCTGTGGGAGTCTCTGTCCCTTCAGCACCAGCTCCTGGAGCTTCTCCACTTTCACACGCCGCATGTGTGCCAGCTTCCGCTTGCTCTGGTAGACGTCAATGAAGGCATCCAGAGGAAGCTCTCCATCCAGAAACTTCTCTGCCATGTTCTACAAGAAGCAGGAGAAACGATTACAAGACAGGCCCACTGTTAGGAAGAATGCTCCCTTCACAGTCCAGGCCAGGGAAGGAGGCTCTAGTTCCCTGCGGCATCCCTCCTCCTGGGAATAGGCCATGCGCAGAGCTGCAGACGGTAGAGGTGTGCCTGGGTCTGCTCTCCCAGGAAGATGAGGTGGGTGGTCCCGCTGTTGGCCCCAGCTTCCAGAATCACAACAGATGGCAGCCTGAGCTGCCAGCTCTCTACTTCAGAGATGGCTACTGCCTGGGCCCCGCCCTCTGATTTCCACCTGGCTGTACCCTGACCAGTGACTCACCCTGGATGGGGCAGCAGCAGAGAATTCTGCTTGTGGCTATCAGGGCCTGCCAAAGCCTAACGGTTAGTCAGACTAGCGTAGCCTGACCTGGGCAACATGTGCCAGCCCTGACTCATTTCCTCCCCTGACAAGACTCTGGCTAGCCATGTCTGGAAGGCTGCAGTGACCAGCTGACTCACTGACCACAGGAGATGCCACTCAGCCACTGGCACCAGGAGCCTGGCAGAGCAGCGCACACCCTGGTCTGGGTCAGCACTGGGCTGCCCCCGCCTGCTGGACCCCTGCCTAGCACATTCTGCTCACTTGCACTCAGTCCCATGTGCTGGGGAAGTGTCCCCTGTTGGCAGTGGAGGTGTGGGGCTCCCATGTCCTGGAGGAAACAGGTCCACGGACTGGGCAAGGTGACCCAGACACGTGCTGAGGTATTCCCATAAGGTCGTCTAGCCTTACCTCAGTGTCTTCCTCAATCTTGGCCCCTTCTGCTTGAAGAAGTGCTAACAGAGTCTCCAAGGAAGCGCTGTTTGACTGCTTATCTGGAAAAAGCAAAAAATACGATGCCATGAGGCAGGGCATCCCACAGGACACCTTCCAGGTTCCTTGCTGGAGAAAGGTTGTCCTCGAACTCAGAGACCCCGTGCTGGGATTAAAAGTGTGTGTCACCAAAACAGGAGCGGACTTTCCAGGATCTGACAGTAAAGCCTCAAATCCACCAAAGGGATGCAGGGACCAGCTCCAGGACAGAGCAGGCCAGCTCTTGCCTGGATGGAGCAGGATACCATCTGTCCATGGTGACCACAACACTGTAATCACACGGGCTTCCCCAGTACTAAGGGGTAAACAAGGACCGCACATGTACGAGGCCAGTAGTCTGCCACTGAGCTCTGCCCGCAGCCCACCCACTCCACTGTAAAATACAATCTCATCGCACTCCTCCAGCTGCTGGCCATTGTCACCATTCAAAGGACCTTTTCCTACCTTCTCTCTTACCAGGTTCCATTTCTGAGTGCTAACTTAATCTAGCACATAGTCAAGCCTTAGGGTCTTTGATTTTAAAGACATGAGGGTAGAGAGAAGGCTGAGAGGCTAAGGGCAGCACTCCCTGTTCCTCCCGAGGGCCTGAGTTCCGTTCCCAGCACCCACATCAGGTAACACACATTCACACAGACACTTACGTAAAAGTCAATCTTAAAAACAAACACCATCTGAATAAAACCCGAGGGCTACCAGGTCAGGCCAGAAAGACATCCCCAAAGGCTCCATCATGTCCACTCTCCCTCTGCCTTCGAGGCTGGCCTCTCCATCAGACGATGCTGCCCTGGCTCTGCAGGCAGAGTGTGCTCCGTCTACCCGACTCTCACTCAGCATCATCCCCCTGCCCACAGACTAAATTCTAGATGTTATCTGAGATTCATTCTTTTCAAACCCGCCACTGCACTGTGTAATCACGCCCCAGCCCTCACTCTGCAGAGAGACACTTAGATGATTCTTCAACTTAATGACTGGACAAAAAACAAACAAAAACGAAAACAGCATTTGTCCTTATCTCCTCAGGGACAGAGCATCCCCTTCCCTGAGTCACAGAATGCGCCATGTGGCAAAGAAGCCTCCCGAGGAGCATTCGGCACCAGGACCTGGTGTGTCTGGTCTTTTCATCTGTTCTTAGGTTCTGGTTAAGTGGCTGGCGGGAACTTTACTGCAGTAAGAGACAGGAGACTAGAGCAAACAGCAGCTACCACCACCACATTTCACAGAAGGGGGTGATTCTGGTTTTTTGGTTTCTTTAACTTTGAGACAGGGTCTCACTATGTAGCCCTGGCTGTCCTGGAACTCGCCCTGTAGACCAGGCTGGCCTAAAACTCAGAGATCCACCTGCCTCTATCTTCTGAGTACTGGGATTAAAGGTGTGTACCACCACAGCAGGTGTTTTAACATTTGTGTGTGTCTGCATGTATGTTTACCTATGTGTGTGTCTGCATGTATATGCTGGTTCCAGAAGACACCGAATCCCTTGGAGCTGGAGTTACAGGAAGTTGTGAGCTGCCAGCTGTGGGTGCTGGGAACCCAACTCAGGACCTCTAGAAGAGCAGCAAATATTCTTAACCCCTGAGCCACCTCTCCAGTCCAGACAATGTTTCCTTTTTTTGTTTGTTTTTTTAAACAGCATTTCTCTGTGTCTTCTGTGATTTCTGTCCTAGAAATTACTCTGTAGACCAGGCTAGCCTCAAACTTATAGGTAATTGTCTGTTTCTGCCTCCCCATGCTGAGATTAAAGGTTCACACACCGCCCAGCGTTCCTTCAACTCTTTAGTCTCAAAAGATTGCCTGAGAAGTTACCTAGCTTGGTCTTCTTTATCTGATAGGCCTCAAAGAGAACCTGGAGTTCCTGGTATTTCTGGGTCAGGCGAGCTTTCTGCGCATCCAGCTGGGGCTGGTACAAAAGGTTTTCCTCCGCCAGGCTCCGGTTGCTAGCCAGTGTCATCTCTTTGTTAAGCTGAACCGTTTGCGTCTGCAAGAAACACACAGGCTGGTGAGACTCAGGGTGCTCAGTTCACGGGCAAGTCCTACATGGCCCCTCCCAGATGCCACGCCCCCCTCCAAGTTCCACCCTGCTCTCCCAGATGGCTCCAAGTGCTGGGCAGACACTCTTGCCCCTCCACCTTCTTGTGGGCGCTCTCCCCATTCACAAAAGGCATGGCCCACTTCCCTCCCCATGGGCTTTGGCTTCAATGGCTGCACTGTGATTTGAATTCTGTACAGCTGCCGCTGTGCTGGACTGTCCAGGGCAAGCTCCTGCCGCTGCAGAGGAAAAGGGGCCACTTTTATCAGAGGGTCTAAGTTGGCAGGATGTCAACATCTGCTTCATCATCAGCCTCAGATCAAAGGAGCCCAGCTGGGCCGAGAGAACTATGTTTGCAGTGACTGCTTCTCCCATCTTTCCCACGCCCACAACAGCCCCTGGGTCATCCCCCATTAGCAAAGCACACCCAACGGGAAAGGGGCTGGCTGTGGTATCAAGGGCTCCTCCCATTGACTCCAGGCTCTCTGGCTGACAGATACTGAGAGCTGCCTGTGTGGGCCTTGGGGAGGTCTATGAGAGGACGAAGGGCAAAGCTTGGCCACAGTCTGTCCAGAGAAAAGCAAGAAACAAATACATCTGCCCTCTAGTTCCCTGTCTGCTCACTCGTGACACGTGACGCGCTCCCTCTCCACAGCCTGCCCACTGCTACCCCTCACCCAGCAGCTCTTCAACCCCACCCAGGCATTTCTTTTCCCTTTACTATTCTCTGCCACCACACCCAGGCTATTTCTGCTAGGACTTCCTTCCTCTCGTGTTCTTATCTAGTCCTCTGCTCCCCACCGCCCACCAGGTACATGGCCACGGTACCTCTATTGACTCCCAGCACCCTCACGTGGAACACGCACAGCAACAACACACGAGTAACTCCCAGAACCAAGGAAAAGCCCTTGATCACCAGGCAGAGGGCATCTGCTCAGCAGACACAGTGGAAGCTGACTTAGATCCTCCCACAGGCCTTAAAGACCACCTCCAAAATCAGAGCACCCCAGTCACAAAGCCATTGACCCCCCCAACCCAACTCAGCACTGTAAAACAAGCGCCGGCAGCACCCCAAGGATGATGGCATGGGGACACTCAATCTCTGCTGCAGTGGAAGGCGGGACTTTAAGGAGGCCCCGGGAAGCAGGTAGGGCTCCTGAGCCTCATCTGCCCCAGAGGCACCCGGGGCTCTCTGTGGGCTTCATGGACTATGGCCACCTGAGTCTTCCTTCCATTGTTAAGCTATTGGGAAGAACAGACACAAATAAACCATGAACATTCACTCTGGCACTTCTTAGGAAACTAAACATGGAAAGATCATTTGACCTAGAAACTCTACTCCTGGGCATTCATCCAGGGAAACAAAGTTCGTGTGTGTGTGTGTGTGCGCGCACACACACACACACACACACACACCCTCTGCACTTGAATTTCCCAGTAGATTTGTTCAAAATAATCTAAAACTTGAAGTACGAAAACAGCCAGCTGTGCACGTCCATGCCACGGAATGCTATACAGCAATGAAAGAGGAGGGCACGCGCACACGCGGACAACTCAAGTAATACCCCAGGAGTCAGGAGTGAAAAAAGCCAACCCTGAAGGGTCATGTATCCCATGATTCCACGTGTGTAGTAGTCTCAAACATCAAAATGAGGAGGTGTGGGGTTTGTGACGGGGCAGGAGGGCTGTGAGCTGACACCCTCTGACTGGTGACAGAGATCTCTGTTCTCTACCCTGCCTGACTCTGAGAATGTTATGTGGTAGAACCTTGCCAGAGTCTACCACTTGGGGATGAGATGAAGGACACAGCGCCTGTGTCTTATGTCTGACATTTGAATCTATGGTTATCCCCAAATCAGGCTTGGTCACAAGCAAACAAACTGCTATGGGCCAACCAGGGTCTCACTATGTAGGCCAGGCTGGTCACAAACTGACAGCTGTCCTGCCTCGGTTTCCCAAGCATGAAGATGGAGACACCGTGGCCCTACAGTCATGTGGCTTGTATGTGTCAATACTGAACTGTAATTCTTCGTCCCACAGCATTTGCTGAAAAAAAGCCAGCACCCTCCAGGTCTAAGGTGGGCAGAGAAAGCTCACACCGGGAACACTCCTCAGGAAAGTGTCTTCCGCCCTCTCTGCAAGGCCACTCTCGCCCCTTTCCCAGCAGCTGAGCACTCGGGCTCTGGAGTGGGGCCTGTTCTTCATGCTTTTACACAGAGGCTACCCTGACTATCCTAAACTCAGCCACCACGCTCACGAACTCACTCTTTCACCATCTGTCACACCCCATCAAAATCCAAGCTACTGGATGGTGTTTGGCACAACAGGCCCCAGAGCACAGGGACCACTCAGTGAAATCTGCTGACCCCGCAGTGTGCACCCACCCACCCCCACCTCCCCACCCCCCACCCCCGCTTACAGAACAGACCAGGAATCATCTGAGCCCGACTCTCACTCCCAGAACAAGGCTGGGATCCAGTGTGCTTCTGGTCAATCGTGAGCAAGCCCCTGCTTTCACCTCTACCATCCAACAGTGCGAAGGTAACAAAATATGGAGCAGGAAAAAGTGAGCATTGTGTGCCCGCCGAGCTCTCTAAGAATGTCACTTGAGTCTAAGCCTATCTGGGGGCACGGAGGGTCACACACTGTGGGTAGTTTCCAAAGCAGAATGTCCCTAGAAGTTCTTAGCAGAAGCAACACAGTGAGCCCAGGGTCATGAGATGGGCGTGGGAAGGTGACATTCAAGCACTTGCCTCTGCCATAAAGTCACAGCTCAGCAGCAGGGCACCTGCCTACCATGCATTGAGCTCCAGGCCCACACACCCTGAACCCAGACCAACCACCGACTGTCTGGAGGGCCAGGCGTCTCAGACACCCTCCCAAACTCTCAGGGGACCACGCGGCTAAACTGAGAGGAACCACTTCCGTTCCTCTATAAAATGCAAATACAAAACCTCCTGTTCCCACAGGGACCACTTGCCCTACACAGCACAAAGTCCCAGAAACACAAGGAAGCCTGAGCTAAAAACAAGACAATCTGACAGGACTCCCGCCAAGGCCACCCATCGATAAAGCAGTCAAACTCCATGATGACAGCTGTTGAACTGGCTGTATGTCTTATACCCTCGGGGCCAGCAGATGCTTTTATGTGAACAAATGACAGGACACCCTTAACGGCCACCCAGACAAGGTCCCCAAACTCCAGGAGGGCAATGGCAACAAGGACAAGGGTCGGGAATGCTGTGGGCTGGCCAACCTTTTCTTAGCTTTTGTAACTTCAGCAGAGACAGGATGGAAGGACTAGGGAAGATGAGCAGGGCCACCTTGGCCCAGCCAGAGATCTGAGACTACAGAGGGACGTCCGCTTTAACAAATGTCAGGCTTAAAGAGAATCCAAGCTGTTCAGACCCTTGTTTGGGGACAGCAGCATGACACATGCACACAGGCCGGCAGTGGCAGCCTTGATCTTTCCCACGGTCCATCCTTTTCCTTAACCCTAAGAAATCTTTTCAGGAAACCATTTCTGTAAATGTTCTCGGTTTCACTTCAGCTTCCTCCTCCAGTAAAGCGAACTGTGTGGTGTGACATGTTTATCAGGGCCCCATTTGCATGGCTACTTCTGCCCCATGAGCTAGAGGAAGGCCGTCTAGGCATCGGCCGAGTCAGTTAACACAGCCACCCTGGCCGTGTGCGTGTGCGTGTGTGGAATCATTCACTTTCAAACCCTTTCTACTCTGAACTACCACTTGGCTTTTTTAATCACCCAACTCATTTTAACAGTCATACAACCCCACAAAGAAGCCGCCCCCTTACAATAAGCACACACAAACAAAACCCCACCTTTCTGATGTCAGTGCAAACAGAAGGCAGACACCCTGGGAAAATAAAGTGCCTCCCTTTCAAAATGGGGGGTGGTGGCAGCTGGAGAGATAGTCCATCAGGTACGAGCCTGAGGACTGGGTTCAGATCCCTCATGCCCATGTAGGAGCCCAGTGTGTCCAGTGCTGGGGACGGGGTGGGGGGAGACAGGCTAACCCTGGAGCTCACTGGCCAGCTAGGCCAGCCAATAGGTGAGCTCCACATTCAATGAGAGACCTTGTCTCAAAAGATAAGAGAGACCCCTGATTGTTGGCTTCCACCAGTGCGCATGCAAACACACACACACGACACACACAAACACACACACACGACACACCAAAAAAACAAAAAACCTGTCTGAGATGAGGAGACCCATGAAGAAATGAACTCTACAAGAAGAAAACAGATATAAGCTCCCTCTGCCCATGCAAGGCTTACAGAGATGCAAGACTTCCTGAAGCCCTGCTGGCTAGGGCCAGGTCGGAAGCTTGAGTTTCCAGTGATACTTGTCAGGCCAAAGATGGATGCCCCCACATTGCAGAGGAACTCTAGGTGACTGTCCAGGCAGCCAGCTGTTTCTGTCATTTCGCAGTTTTTGGAAGTCACTTGCTCACACTTCCTGCTTACTCAGTTAATATTATTTCCTTCTCGGGTCTCTGAGGGAGTTGAAGACTAGAGGGTTATAGCTTCCCTTGTTTACCAGATGCAGAAAGCAAATTATGATAGAAAGTAAATTCGGTACAAGACTTTGGACTCACAAGATAGCATAGATATGGAGTATTTTCTCTGAATTTGTCAAATGCAAATGAACTAGACATTATTGATGCATTTATTGCCTATGTATTATATTTATTGTGTATAGTTTTTTCTTATATTAGTTACAGCCTTTTTTATTTTAGACAAAAAGGGTAAATGTGGTGATATTTCATTTGTATTTTAATAAATAAAGTTGGTCTGAAGATTAGAGAGTAAAACAGCCGCACTGATCAGCCATACAGACCAGGCAGTGGTGACACACACCTTTAATCCCAGTTGCCACACCAGTTTGCCACAGAAACTGGGTGGTAGTGGTGCACGCCTTTCATCCCAGA